AATAGAAAACATATTGAAAAGATCTATTTGATGTGTTTAATGTGTTTAGAGGATTTATCCTTTTCAGAATCAAATTATGTTCCAGGTACACATATGTGTAAAAGTACACGGAATATTTTTGGTTCAGCACGTATACCGGTATGTGACAAATGAAGGCAGAGTTGTTTTAAACACTGTACACAGCAAAAACAGTGCTAAAGCTGCAGTAGGGAGTTTTGAGAAAACGTTGACTTAGCCTGAAAATTTGAACAAGCACAACTTACAGGTCCCACCCCCTTGCTCTCTGCTGCGCTACAGCCCTCCCTCCACAGCGGAGCCTGCCGTGAACGCGCAAGCTAGTAAACAGCAAAAGAGCTAGTAAGAGTAGCAAGCTAGTAAACAGCATAAGAGCATAAGAGCTCTCCAGCATAAGAGCTTTTTCAAAATAATCCAAAGGATTAGTAAAAAGTTGTTCTGAATTTAAAATATATATATATTTTATTTAGGCACACACAGACATCAAGAATCAGCGTATGAATCTCAGCAATGGTGACAAACAGCATATTCAGAAACATTTGTGATTTTTCTCCCTCAGTGATTCTGTTTGTTATCATCAGGTGTCTTCAACAATGGTCAATCATCACTCAATTAATTACTTTATTATCTCATTAACTATTACTGCTTCAGTGTTCATTTAATATTTAACATCATACTTTAACACTCTTAAGTCTGGAGCCAAATAAACTCCCAGGAGATTTTATTTAACACTGGAGTTTTTGCTGTGCACTTGCTGAACTTCAGTTTGTGAAGAACATGATTTGAATCTTCAGAATTTACGCTGTAGGATGGGACAACACTGTCGATATACTTTGATGTGAGAAAAGTACACAATCCAAGTCCTAATCATGAGACGTGCTTTATATTTAGTGCCTCATACTAACTCATGAGCCTATATGCATATGTTTATATGACAACTATGTACTAAAAACGGAAACGTTTTTCCTTCGCGTTTTCACGTATGTCAAAACAATCCCTGTTCACACGGATCAGCGAAAACTGAAAACTACTCATGCCAGGCCAGTAGTTGGTGATGCCACTTTGTAAAAGAAACACCATGCGCCTACACCTAAAGCGCATGACGTCATCTTATCGTGAAAACGTCACAAATTTGCTTTTCTGCAGTTTACATGGAGATGATAATGGTAACATTTTGAAATCTGTTTTCAAAAGTGTGCATTTTCAGGCCCCCAAAATGAATGACCAAAACGCATAAACAAACAGTGTTGTGTAAACGGCCCCTTTGAAGTGAAATGAAGGCTAAGTATTGTAACCCATACTTGAAATTTGTCCTCTGCATTTAACCCATCCAAGTTACTGCACACACATTAGCAGCAGTGAGTAGTGAACACACACACACACGCACTGAAGAGTTGAATCAGGTGTGTTTGATTAGGAAGAACATCTGGACAGATAGTAAAACACTACAGGCATCATACATTTTTCAACTTTGTTAAGCCAGGTTCACACTGCCGTCATTTATAATAGTCCTTTACAACTGTTGCTTGTCAGACATGGACATGATCCCCGCTGTAAGCCGTGTCACACTGTAGGATCTCAGTTGTCATTAATGTCAGATGTGTGTGTTTGCGGTGGAGCAAGTGGTGGTTTGTTGTTGCCTCATTTGCAATCGGATGCTACGCTCCTATTGGTTTTTGGTTTGATGGTTGTCGTGGGAGAAGTCACAGAGCTGTCTCTCAAAACCTCTGACACTGCCAGAATTTAGTTGGAGGAACATGGCTGTGAACATGTCAAACTAGCAATCAAGGACTTCAGATTTTAGCCTAGGATCAGAGAAATATTTTAGGATTCACAAAACTTGTCTCAGACGGCCAAATTGTGGCCAGAATCGTAAGGTGTGAACTGGACATCATACACTAAACAACTGAGGATCCTCACACTACTAGAGACATTCTGAATCTGAACACAACAAACTCACACAAAAACACTCCCTCTTTGCTAAGAGATTCATGAAAATTTAAGACCATGTATTTTAAATGCATCAGACTATGCATCAGCTCAAAATACCACACATGTTTGAAAGTGCTTACATCTGTAATCAGCAGATTTTATAGAAGAGTTCTACATTTAATGCTCCGGTGTCTGTAAAGGTTTTAAAATATAATAAGAACAACATGATTTGATTATATCTTGAATGACATAATTAATTCACACCCTCATTCCACTGTCACAGCATCACAATAACATTAAAGATTGACACTGTATGTGTGCTATTGGTTTTCCAATTAGTTGTTGTAGAGCACATTTTAATTTAAGTGGAAATTACATCTACAGGCTTTTTACATCTTCAGTAGATTACAGTATCGGTGTTTATTCTGTCCTCAATATTATTGTGATAGTATTATTGGGTATGTTTGTTATGATAGGATGTGATTATGATGGTGTGTAGTTTGGGCTCTTTTGAGGCACTGTAACAGGTGCTTGTGTTCAAGCCTGAGCACAACAGAAAACTAAAGTGCAGGTGAATTAAGGGAGGGATGGAGCAGAGAAAATGACCGGGATCTGCAAAGCTTGAAACACTGAGGTCACCACATTGTGTTATTTGTGTTCTGTTTTCAGTCCTATTGGACGGAGATAAAAAAAATATCACTAATCTTCCCCAGAACAATGTTACAAAAGGGTGTATGCATGTGAACTTTGCACAGCTGCCTATTTAGTTAGCTTTTATTATTGAGGTAAATTGTTGCTGTAATTGTGCCATTGGGAACTGAAAACTACACGATTGATGGATTGGAGTAAAACAGCGGAAAGATTGAAGTCTCATAGGAGTTTACTGAGTTATCCCATCTGTAAATATAGTACTTTTCTTCACAAAAACAATGGGCATGACCATCCCTCTGGAATATGAAGACATGACAGAGAAGAAGGTGGTGATGGTGTTTCCATCTGCTCTCGGCTCACAAACATTTGCTGTTCTCCAACTCTCACAAAACATATAGCCGCATGTCTCCTTTCATGACACTGATGAATGCTGCAATAGCAGCACCTAATCAAATACATCTCAAAGCCATTTCTAATGTTTGGAATTCCTGCATTGATAAATTAATTTAAGCCAGGAGTGCATCATCAGAAATTGTGTATCTTTCATTTCATTCTCTCTCCTGACACACTCAGTCAGTATGTAACACTGTGAGTGTTGCTTTTTAAAAAATAAATATATATCTAAAGAGCAGTTCATGACCAGGGTGTCTGTGCTTCTGAGAGTTGTTTCATCCTTCTGGTTTTAACGCTTATCTTAAAATCAGACAGATGCACCCTTATGGAAAAAAGTGAGCATAATTGTATTTAATTAATTAAGTATATACATTTTTTTTTAAACTGTAATTGCAGATAATTGTCATGGTGCAAGTAAGGAAGGATCTTAATTGCAGCAGATTTACTTTTATTTATAAAACAAAAGCAAAGAAAGCTATTCAAAAGGTGAGAATCAACGTAGCAGTTTCACTAATGCAAAGACAATAGTGGATATTGAGTGGAACAAAGGACCAAGGAGGAGATGCTGGAGGAAGGAGCCAGGGAAAGCCAACTGAGGGCGGAGCCAGGGAGCAACCCAGAGCAAAGCCATTGGGACGAAGGTCCATGACAGAACCGATGGAAGGATGAAGCCAGGATGAAGCTCAAAGCCTGACCCACTGAGGTGGAGCTGGGTCGTGACAAAGATAATGACCTGGGGTGACATCGCAGGCTAGGAGGGCCAATGTGGAGCTGTAGGCTTGTGGGACCGAGGAGGAGATGGGGACTTGGAAGACAAGGTCAGAGTCAGTGGGACTGAGGACCATGGAAGATCCAGAGGGATGGAGGAGACCGGTGGAGACAGAGGGGTGTTGGTGTAGTGTAGTGTAGTGGAGGTTGAAGTGTAGCTGGAGACTCTGAAGTCTGAAGAGGAGCCAGAGCAACAATTGACCAAGATGGATTCAGAGGGACGAGGGAGCCCGGCAGAGCCGATGGGTCTGAGGGCAAGGCGGATTCCGGTGCTCGGAGGCACGAGGTGGAGCTAAGGGATAAACACACCTGGGCAGAACTAGAGACCTGGAAGCCAAAGGCGGATCCAAGCAGCTGGGCAGAGCCACTGAAGGAGGAGCCGAGGGGGTGAAGGGAGCCTGCTCAGGCGGGGCAGAAGAACTGAATGGTGTTATTAGAGGAGCAGGGAGTGGAACAGGACCCTAACAGAACAGGGCTTGGAAGTGGGAGGGGATCTGGGAATCAAGGAGGTCGCCAGGAGAGGAATAGGCTTACACGGAGTATGAATATAACATGGATACCGGCTCACAAACCTGGTCAATCACAGCAGACTCAAGCTCTGGGTCTGTGGTGGGCTCTGGTTTGTTGTCCAATCATATAGAGTGCAGTTTTGAGATTTGGGGTGGATGTTGGCTCTGGCTCAAGCTCTGACACGTATTTTGGGGCTGGCTAACACACATGGTGAGACCTGAGACCTCAGGCTGGCTTAGGCCTCAGGTCTGCAGGGGCTTTGGGTCTTTGGTGGGTATAGGCACTGGCTCTGGGTCCTTGGCAAGTGTGAATAGGTTTGCGGAAGGTCTAGGGAGGAGTCACTGGAACAAGGTTTGATTATGACAGGACTGGCAGCATTTGGAAAAGCCCACTCCAAAAACAAGTCTTTAAGGTGCCTTCGCTCTAGGACACCGAGTGGCTGAGCTCAAGGAACTTTAGGAATGTACAGTTGCAATCAACAAATCAATCAAAAGTTAATGAAATAGCTGAACTCAACAAATGTTTCAAGTGGTTTCCCCAAATTCAACTGAAAATGCAACTTTTAATGACTTCTGCAGTCTCAAAATTATTCAACACCTTAATGGGAAGCATCTTAAGTACTTAGTAGAACACCCTTTCGCTGTTATGACCTGCTGCAAACAATATGTATAAGCAGACACCAGCTTCTGGTAGCTGTAAGAAATTATAGTCTGCTCCGATTCCAACTTCCACTCCAATATAGATGTATTGAAATGTTCCTTCACTTAAAAGAGCTTATTTATCATAGAATTAATTCCTTACAATCTTAAAAGTATCAGTCACGTTTATTACCTATAGCGTGGGAATGACAGCGGGTATTCAAGAACCATCTTGATTAGGGAGCTTCAAAGAGATGTTATCACCTTAAACATTTGGCCATTCTTATTTGAAAGAAGATCAAAGATGTGGGCACAGAGGGACCACTTTTGTTGTTATCCTTAATTTACATTTAAGACAGAGCTTCAGCTCCATGCGAGGAGAGAAGGAATTTGTTATTCTTAACATAGGGAAGACAGCTGTTACGACAAGAGCAACTTCATTTACATTAAGAGGACAGTAACAGGATAAAAGGTTTAAGATTTGAATGTTCTGGGTTCATTCTGACGCCAGTGAACCCAAGGTGCTTCGTGTCCCTTGCCACTGCTATGCTGTAATAAACTTCATTTTTGAGATCTTCGACATCTACATCATTTTTTCTTACATTGGCGAGCCACCCTTCCAGGAGTTTCCAACAAAAAGTGGGGAAAGGTAAGAAAAAGCTGTTTTCTTTCATTTATGCTGTTTTTTGTCAGGAAACCCCTCATTTAAAAAAATCTAGAAAAGGAAAATTTAAGGACAGAAGAGAATTTGGTTTATTCAGTATTAGCAGGAGGAGTTGTTAAGCTTATTCTGTACGATTTTGTTTAAGATTCTAACGGAACTGAATCAGCCCGAAGCAGTGCGGCGGCAGAGTTGTTTTGGAATTGTTGTTTCTAAAGTAGTTGAAACAAAGTGCTTAAGTGTAAAGTTTCTAAAGTAACTGAAACTTTGTGTTGGTCTCTTATAAATTCTGTTAAGATCCTAAAGTAATTGAATCAACCCGAAGTAGTGAGGTGGCAGAATTATATTAGATCAGTTGTTTCTAAAGTAACCGAAACAAAAGTGTATGCAGCCTATTTGAAACCGATTGTGAAAGTTGTAATAATTCTGAGGAAATTCTAAAGTAATTGAATAGACCCGACGCAGTGTGGTCACAGAATTATTTCGCAACGATTGTGTTTTATAGTGTAGTAGATTAGTAAATCTAACACTGTGGCTCTGTGAAATTTAAAACAAGAACCCGAAGCAGTGTGGTTTTGCCCGACGTACTGTGGCAGTGTTTTAAATTTTATAAATATTGTTTAAGCCCGAAATACTGTGGATAAGTAAACTGTTTTAAGAAAATAACATAAAACCCGACGTAGTGTGGTTTTGTCCGACGTACTGTGACAGTGTTCATTTTTTTTTTTCCTAAACTGTTTTATGTAGTGAAATTTAAGGTCCGAAGTAGGCCTATGGTGGTTTTGATTAAGTTTAGAAGTTCAGTCAGGGTGTTTGATGTATTCATTAGCGTCCGAACTGTGAATAATTAGACTAACGAATATCCTAAAGGAACTGGATAACGTGTAGTGATTATATCAGACGTTGGGAATAACTATTAGATCACGAAATAGCCTACTGTAAAGTCCGATAACACATTTTTGAAAATGGAAGAAATGATTGTGAAATACATCGCTAAACATGGTTCTCAGGGATTGTTTGACGGAATAGAAAATATTGTTGATAAACCATATGAGTGGGCAATTTCCAAGTTTGAAAATTATCCCAAAATGCCTAGAAACAAAAAAGGAAAGGTCGCAAATGCGCTTCAAGCTGTTTTTGCTTCCTACAAAGTAACCAGGAAGAGAGTAGACGAGTTAGAGGCTGAAAATGAGCTTTTCAGTGTAGGATTAAATTCAAAAAAAATTTACCAGGCTTGTGAAATGACATGGAAAGAAGAGAAGGTCAGGATGCAAAATGAGATTGCACTTCTGAGAACTAACAATAGCATGCTTAGATCTTCTGTGGAAACATTGTCTAATGATTTGGAAGAAGCAAATATGGCTTGTCAGTTCATTATAAAGAATGGCACAGATCAGAAGATTACAAGTAAAACATTAGGGGTCACTTTTTGTAATCCGGTTTCAGAGATGCCAGATTTGAAAGAGAACAGTGCTGAGGGTTGGGAACAGGATTCTCAGTCATTAAACAGCCAATATTCTGACTGTACAGTTAGGTTTCCCATGGCACCAGTTCATGCTACAACGACTAGGCGGGATAGTGAAGAAGGAGAAGAACCAATGACTTCTACTGTAGTCAGAGGTTTTAATCCAAATGAATTAGAAGCTGTGATCAAGAATATTGGGAAATTTGACCCTGCCAAACACGACCCATTAGATTTTCTGAAAAACTTGGAGGGATATGCTGAAGTGTACCAGTTTACAGATAGTGATGCATGTGTATTGTTGAGAATGTGTTTGCCTGACACTTTGTCTGGAGCCCTAAATCAAAAAGTAAAGAACAGAACTGCTAATAAGTCAGAGAGGAAAAAGGCACTGCTTGAAGTCTTAGGTGTGATGTCAGTTAATTGGGATAGAATATCTGAGATGCAAATGAGAAAAGGGGAACATCCAGCAGCATTCTCAGAACGATTACTGGAGACATTTAAGACCTTCAGTGGCAATCCTGATATTACTCAGAATGATATCAGTTTCAAGACTGCGTTGATTAGCAAATGTGATTCATTCACCCGTTCTGCTGTGACAATGTTTGTGACACCTCTTTCGGCATATGATGACATAATTGCTAAAATGACACAGTTCTACAACAATAATGCTAATGAAAAAAAATCTCACCCTGTATCTGTAATAAATGTTAAAACTCCATATCAGAACAATGATCGTGAGGGCTATTGGAAAAAAGAACACCACGATACTGCAGAAAGAGTAGAGAGAACACCTCCTTATAACCCTGATAATCTCCCAGTATGCTACTCATGTGGTAAAGAAGGACACATATCCAGAGTGTGCAAATCTCACCTCAAAAGAACAGGTCCAAAAATTGATTTGAATCAATTAAAGACCACAGTAGATAGATTGAGTAAGGAGAATGAGGAACTTCGTTCTAATTTGGAGAAGCAGAGATCTCAAGCCAAGTCTTCCTCAGCATAGGGATCTCAGGCCTCCATAAAACATGTAGCACCCCTGTCAAGAGATAATCATGGTAGACCAATTGTAAATATTGCTGTTGGAGGTCGATGCAATGATTGGTTAGTAGATTCTGGTGCTTCATTAACAATTCTTCATTCAGACAATTCCTCACTGAACAGTAAAAAGACAATAACATTGGAGGGTTTTGATGGAACAATATCTCTAGCATCACAAACAGATAATATGTCATTTCAAATTGGAAGAGATCAATTCAAAGACAAAGTATGGCTCAGCAGAACTGGTGATGGTCGTAGTATCCTAGGTTCAGATATTATGACTAAGCGTGGATATATTATCGACTATGGCAACAATTGTATTTGGCGTAATCCTCAGAGTGAAGATAAAGTTGTGGAGATTTCTGATGTACATGCTGTACATGCAATTAAAAAATCCGAGGACTATGATTTAGATACATTGTTATCAGTGGAAGATTCAGAATTGTCCAAAATTTTGAGAAAAAACAGAAATGTTTTTGCTCAATCTAAACATGACTGTGGCCGAGTTGACACTAGTGTAATGGAAGTGAAGATTCAAGGTCGTGACCCACCCTCTCTCAGACAGTATAATTATCCAGATGAGGCAAATCCATGTATACAGCGTACAGTGGATTCTCTATTAGAACAGGGTGTTATTAGGCCATGTTTTTCTCCATCATTGGCCCCAATTTGGCCTGTTCGTAAACCAGACAATTCTTGGAGATTATGCATAGATTACAGGGAACTTAACAAATGTACACAGACTTGTGCACCTGTAGTGGCTTCTACCCCTGATGTATTAGCATCTCTCTTACCAGAGGCTAACTACTACTCGGCTCTTGATGTGTCAAATGGTTTCTGGTCAATTCCATTACACCCAGAGTGTCAATATAAGTTTGCTTTTAAGTTCAGAAACACGCAGTACACATGGAATGTCCTTCCACAAGGCTTTGTGAACTCACCTACCCTGTTCCACCAGTGTTTAGCTAAAATACTGGAACGCTTTTCTAAGCCTGAATGTCTGATTCAATATGTGGATGATTTGTTGTTACAGACAGCTGACAGGGAAGAACATCTCACTTTGCTAGCAGAACTACTTCAGTTGCTGGATGAGGCTGGACTTAAATTGAATCCCAGAAAAGCTCAGTTGCTTAAGTCAGAAGTCACTTATCTTGGAATAAAGATAAGCGAAGGGGGGCGTACACCTGACCCACACAAGGTGGAAATTATTCAGAGACTTCCAGTCCCAGTATCAGTGACAGCTTTGAGATCATTTTTAGGAATAGTGGGATTCTGTAGGGAATTCATAGAAGGCTTTGCAGACATTGCAAAACCTCTAAACTCTCTCCTTTCAGGAAAAAAGAAAAAAAATGATTCCTTAGATTGGGGTCCAGAGCATCAGACAGCATTTGAAAAATTGAAAGCAGCCCTAATAAAAGCTCCAGCCCTTCGCAATCCAGACAGAACACAACCATTCATTTTGCAGACAGCTGCAACAGAGGAAGCTCTTTCAACTGTCCTCCTGCAGGATGTGCAAGGAAATTTGCGTCCCATTGCTTATGCGTCTCGAGTACTTTCCCCTGTTGAAAAAGCATTTGACTCCTGTACAAGACATCTTTTGTCAGTTCACTGGGCAATGTCACATTTTGAATACATTTATGGTTTCAATGAAGTGACACTGCATACGCCACATACTCCTTTACAGCTTCTCTTAAATGGAAAAGTGAAAGGAGTATCTAGTACTAGACTAGGCAGATGGACGTTGGATTTAGGATCAAAAAATTTGAAAACTGTCTACAAACCCAACTCCATGCTACCCCGAACTCTTCTGTACGAAGGTGCTCCACACACTTGTGAAGACGAACACACTTTATCCTCTGAAAGTGTCTTTGAGGTAAAAGCTATTGAAGGAGCTGTTGATGTGTATGTTGATGGTTCTAGGTTTTGGCAAGATGGGAAGTACCATACAGGTTTTGCTATTCATTCTGATCGAGGAAATTTTCTGTATAAATGCCCATCTCATTTTTCAGCTCAGAAAGCAGAGGTGACAGCGGTATTACAGACATTAGAGGTCATCAAAGACTCAGATTTGAACATATATTCAGATTCTGCCTTTGTGGTTAATTCTCTTACAGAATAGTTGCCGATTTGGCAGAAGAGGGGTTTTACCAGTGCAGATGGTCAACCCTTAGTTCATTGTGGCCCGATACAAGCATTATGGTCATCTGCTGAAAATAGCATTCATAAGATTGCAGTGTTGAAAGTTAAAGCTCACCAGAAGAAAGGAACAGACAAACATGGGGATGGAAATCTGATAGTTGATGAATTAGCAAAGAAAGCGGCTGTGGAAGGAATAACATTTTCAGGTATTAATGAGCATGAATCAATTGCAGCTATCACTCTTAAAGAACCAGTAGATTTGAAAAGTGCCCAAAAGAGTGATCCTTTGATAACAGAAGCAATAAGACTGAAAAAAAATGGTCAATCTATTATAGATGGCCCATTTGCACCACATGATGCACAGTTGATAATTCATGATGATATACTACTGTACAGAGACAGTGATAATCCAGTATGGATTCCACCTACTAGATTGCGGAATGATATTTTATATCATATCCACAATCAGGGAGGACACTTAGGTGTTACAAAGGTGAAGGACAGGATATGGAATATGTTTTGGTGGCCATGCATGGATAAGGATGTGAAAGAATATTGTGCAAATTGCCTAACATGTGCCCAGATGAATCCCTCAGGGGTTAAAAAGAAAGGCTGTTTAAGACCGACATGCCTTGCGGAAGGCCCCTGGACAAACCTTCAGATTGATTATATTGGTCCTTTACCAGCAGCTAAAGGAGGATACAGATATATTCTAGTAATTGTTGACACATTTAGCAAATGGATTGAGGCTTTTCCTATCAAGTCTGATACTGCTTCTGCCACGGCACGAGTACTTTGGGAACAAATTTACTGTAGATTTGGCCTTCCTCTGAGTTTAGAAAGTGATAGAGGCACCCATTTTACAGGAAAAATTCATGTAGACCTTGCAAAACTGCTTGGAATAAAGCATCGGCTCCATTTGGCACATCATCCACAATCATCTGGAGGGGTAGAAAGATTGAACAGAACATTGAAGACAGCTTTGAAAAAAATGGTATTAGAGAATGGTCCAAATTGGTCTCAAAACCTTCCAAGTATATTGATGTCAGTTAGAGGGATTATTCACAAAAGTACAGGTTTTAGTCCTCATGAATTAATGACAGGGAGAAAAATGAGATTACCAGAACACCTTTTATCTGAAGTTCCAAAACCTATGATTGAAGGATGGACAACAGAAACATTCCTCAAGAATCTGTGTAAATCATTAACAGCTATGTATAACCAAGCTGCTCAAGAAATTGGGCACAGTCAGAAATACAACAAGATGTATTATGACCAAGATGTGCATGTCCAGAAATTTGAGCTTGGTGATGAGGTGATGGTAAAGAACTATCACCATGAGGGTCCATGGTCCGCTAACTGGATAGGACCATACACAGTGATTGACAAATGTGGAGATACAGTTTACAAAATCTGTCATAAAGCTAAAAACAGACAACCAGTGAAGAAATGGTTCCACATTGATCAGATGAAACCATATAAGAAATCAGATGACAGTCCTAAAGAAACAAATACATAAAAACAGGAATGTGTGTTTGTTCTTAATTCAAAATATGAATTAATTTGATAATTTGTTGTTATTGTTGGTGATAATGTGTTTATGTATATACATTGTAATGATAATTCTGTTATTATTGTTTGTTTAAAAAAAAAAAAAAAAAAAAAAAAAAAAAAAAGGGGGGGGGGGGGGGGGGTAACTCTTCTTTCTATTTGCATTTATTTTTCAGAACCCCAACCGAGATAAATAAAGATGTGGTGTTATATCGTGGCTGTAGTCCTCCCAGTGATGGTGATGATGCAGGAGTGTCCAGAGCAGCAATCAGCGCCTGCCTCTGGAGTGGTGACAAGGCCTTATCAAGGGGTACTGATCAACAATATTCAATGGATCCATGTTCCAGTCTTAGTAAACCTAACAGCATGGTCTCCAGACATGGATGGACGATGCCGAGGAGAAGGTGTGACAGAGATGTATAAAGACCTTATCACTACAGTTTTCCTGAGGTACCATAGCGCTGTAGCAATGAACTCTCCGGCAGATCAGTCACCAAGAGAACCACCAAAAGATCACCTTGGAGAAGCCCCTACCGGACGGAAGCTATTAGGGTTTGTAGACAAGATGCTCGGAGCCTCTGGAGCAGGTTTAGGCATATCCAACTGGATAAGTGAGCAGGAGCTGAAGCGTAATGAGCTTAAACTGAAAGCTCTCGTCGGACAACAGGTTTTACAAACGGACGCATATTTGCAAGAAGCTCTAAATGAAGAAAAAGAAACTGTTCAGGACGTTCACACTATAGCTTCCACGCTATCAATCATAGCCCAAAAGACAAAGAAAGCTTTTAACAGTATGCAGAAACAACTATATTGTGCACAGTTTGCTTCCATCAAACATCAGGAAATCACTCATGTCATGGAAGAAGTACTGGCTGGAAAAGTTCCATCGACTCTTTTTACTGAAGAGGTCATTATGAAATGGTTTGGACTTAAAGATTGTTTTAATTTCACCTCAGACAATTTAAAAACATTTATGAATAGATTGGGTAAATGCAAATTGCCCATCCCTTACAGTTACATCCTACAGATGGCCAAGATTTCCTCTCATCCGATTCCCCCTGGATTTTATAGTCCGCTGGATTACGGTCCATTAATGGAAGGTATACACCTACCTTTCTCTCACCATGGAGGAGAGCCATTAAAGCCCACCAACCGAATTCCACCTATTCAGATTTTAAGGTGGTGGAATGACACCGTGATAAATAAACCAAAGGATACTTCTTGGGCCTGTTCTGCTGGGAATAGTTTTGATAGATTTGGATGTTTTATGAGACAAATGTATGCTATGCTTTTAACCGTTTCAGTACCAATTTTCCAGAAGGAACAAGTGTTTAAAAAAATTCTAAGTGTGGACAATTTAGGAATACTACAGGAAAATGTGCTGAAGGAAAGGAAGGACTTGCCCAAATTTGTTACTCAGCTACAATCAGGAGAATGGCGAGGTATAGATATAGAGTGTTGTGACAAAACTCCATTTGGTTTCATTTGTGAATGTGATGCTGTGGAAAAACAACCATTGTGTGGAACACCCCAGACAAGCTATGAGGCTTGTGAAATCAGTTTGACTCATATGCACAATAATTTCACGAGGGTAATAGTATCAGACAAAAAAACATGTGTTACCACAACTCTGAATCACTTCTCCATCTCTGTCAACGATAATCAAACATTTTGTACAATCAATTCAACCTCATTTTGTATGACACTCGAATCGACATGGTCTATAGGAAATTATTACTTTCCTTATGTAAATATTACACAACAAACAGTGTCACCCAATTCAGAGGAACAATTAGGTTTTGTGGAAAACATCCCTGAATTTGAGTTTGAGTTACCAAAATTAGACAATATGTTAATGTCATTGATGCAAAGGAAAGATAGTCACATTGTGAAAGTGCAACAAGGCCTTGAAGGGAAAGACGAGGTGTTGATAAAGCAAATGCATGATGGAGACTTGGCGATTGCCTATTCTGGTTTACTTTGGGATGTTACCTTTAAAACTGCTGTTTGTGTATGTATCATTCTTATTATCGGTCAGTGCATTATGTTATGTTGTATGTGTTCCATGTTGAAACGTCAGGTTGAAGATAATTCTATGATCAATATTGGACGTTCCCGTTGGATGTGATGGTTCTTGATTACCTCTCTCAAACCCAAGAAATACTTTTCCAAAAAAAAAAAAAAAAAAAAAAAAAAAAAAAAATTTCTTAACACCAACTATGATAATTCTGCTCAAGTGAAGTAGAGCTGTAACCAGTGTGCATGAGGTGTCATTCCTATGACGGGTAAGATTCTCCGATGGCCATAGGGGGACAACCTAAGCCAGGATGGCACCGCCACTGGGCACCTGCCCACCAGGAAAGGGAGGTGTTATTTAGGAAAAGGGAGTGGACGTGATGCTACTTATGGGCCAAGAGCATCAAAGGGGGGTCTGTAAGAAATTATAGTCTGCTCCGATCCAACTTCCACTCCAATATAGATGTATTGAAATGTTCCTTCACTTAAAAGAGCTTATTTATCATAGAATTAATTCCTTACAATCTTAAAAGTATCAGTCACGTTTATTACCTATAGCGTGGGAATGACAGCGGGTATTCAAGAACCATCTTGATTAGGGAGCTTCAAAGAGATGTTATCACCTTAAACATTTGGCCATTCTTATTTGAAAGAAGATCAAAGATGTGGGCACAGAGGGACCACTTTTGTTGTTATCCTTAATTTACATTTAAGACAGAGCTTCAGCTCCATGCGAGGAGAGAAGGAATTTGTTATTCTTAACATAGGGAAGACAGCTGTTACGACAAGAGCAACTTCATTTACATTAAGAGGACAGTAACAGGATAAAAGGTTTAAGATTTGAATGTTCTGGGTTCATTCTGACGCCAGTGAACCCAAGGTGCTTCGTGTCCCTTGCCACTGCTATGCTGTAATAAACTTCATTTTTGAGATCTTCGACATCTACATCATTTTTTCTTACATAGCGTTTATGAGGAGTCTTTAGCCCATTCCTCATGAGCAATGGCCTCCAGTTCAGTAATATTCCTGGGTTTGTGTGCTGCTGTTTTGCGTTCCTTATTTGTGAAGGGTGATGATATTTCTCTTAACTTTTTGGACCATTCTTTTGACTTAACCATATTTCTAACTTGCAGTCAAACGTGACACTCAACAAACCTAGCTAGTTCAGATATGTTGTGTGTTCTAGCTCAGCACACCTGCTGCAAAGAATGAAGCCCTTGATTAGTTGCATCAGGTGTGCTTGAGACCGATTTGTGCTGTTGTTAGGGATTCTATTCAGGGAGCTGAATAATTTTGAAACTGCAGAAGTCAATAAAAGTTGCATTTTCAGTTATATTCGGGGAAACCACTTGAAACATATGTTGTGTTGAGCTATTTCAATTACTTCAATTGTTTGATTTGTAAATTTGCAAACAGTTGAAATTCTGTAAATTTGGCCAATAAACCTGATTTGCAATTGAATAATTTCAATTGCAACTGTATATTCTTCCACAGGACAGCCATCTCCTGCAAGGGAGAGGAGACCTAGATCTGGCCCACACTTGACATGCCTGTAATGATGATCCGGCCCACATACCACGTGGAATGAATACAAAAGTTTTTATTGAGAATCAACAGAGGTTTAAATGTTTAGATGAGAGAACTGCTGCTGGGTCCATTTATCTAATCTTGGTCCAGTATTCGGTCACAGTACATGCAATGTAAGATGATCTCAATTGCAGCAGATTTACTTTTATTTATAAAACAAAAACATAGAAAGCTAGTAAGAAGGTGAGAATCAACGCAACAGCTTCACTAATGCAAAGACAATACTGTGTAGTGAATGGAATTAATATGAGGGCTTACATACACAGGAGAAAATAAACAGAACAAGAAACCGGTGAACAAAGCAATCAGTAACCAGACAATAAACAAGGGCATAATCAGTAACCTAAGAAACTGAAAATAAGGAACAAAGGAAGTAGGAACAGAACACTGGGAAACAATGAAATACAAACTAAAAGCCCATAAAATGCATTCATCAGTGTGATGCCCTGTCCACACGGAGACGCGTTTAGCTGTATACGTACAAATTTTGTGTCGTATTGGCGTTTCCTCCAGACGGAGCCGGGTCCCAGAGTGGATAAATCTGAAAAACGACACCCTTGCGTTTTCGTGTGTACAGCCAATCCGTATATTTTGTGAAACGATGATGATGACACTGCTTACAGTCACGTAACAGCAACAACAACTGCCGAATACATGCTTGTATAATAATATAATATAATGCTGCAGAAGCTACTGAGCCTCTTGTATTCCTTTATTTATTATTTACTTGAATGTATTTTTATTTCATTTATTTATTTATATTTTCTTTCTTATGCTATGGTGCTGGTCTGTTGTCTGATTAAAACATTTCGTATTTTGTAGGGATGGGCATTTCAAACAAAAATAATATTCGATGATCACTGGAAATTATTAGATTATTATTCAAAAAACGAACCCCTGCCCCACATGCTCAGCGGTAAAACGGCATTCGCTCAAATTCCAATCCAACATTAAATATAAGTTTCATATTTATGTTTAAATACTATGTTATTTTTTATTTAATATTGATTATGAAAAGTGAACAGCATGAGTAATCATAAGATGCACAATATATCGGGAGACCTAATTTTTACCACATTAAGTTTTGTTTTGTATAAAGCCTTTCTTTAAAGTGAATTTCGTTTTGTATAAATTGTATCTTAATTTTAATCATCAATGTTTCATCAACCAATTGCCTGGATTTAAAGGTACATTATGTAGGCTTTTTGCAGTAAAATATCCAAAAACCACTAGGCCAATGTTATATATTTTGTTTAGTTGATTACTTACAATATCCCCAATGTTTACAACTATTTGTAAATCGTGAGAAAATTGCGATTTTAACCAAGGAAACGGGGCGTGTGAGCAGGGGTGAGGAGTCCCCAGTCAATGGCGTCATATCCGCGTTACCCTCGGTTCCCGCTCGCACTGCCATAGTAACCATGGCGACAGACGTGGACAACTGGGTTATGCTTAGCAGGACGCTCACGCTGTTGTTGTTTTGTTCAAACATTTTGGACTATGGCAAGCAGACTTTGAGACAAAAAGAGGACTAAAACGAAGATCAACATCTTTCGAGATGCCGAGAGCTCCACGTCCGCGTCTAACTTCGACTTGACAGAGACGCGAGTGTTGCATGTACTTTATTAGACAGGTGAGCAAATGTACATAAAAATAATCAATGTTATTTAGTTCAATATGATGAAATGTTAGAATATGATCTGTATGTTATTCTAATGTTGATCTAGCTTACTGCTAGTCTCATACAGCCAACAAACAACCTAACTAACAACATTCAACACAATCAAATGCAGTTTAGTGTGATAGTGTAACTGTTAGAGCAAGTGAAACAGAGCTGCGTTACCTCAAGTTTAATTGCTCTAATAAACTGACCTGTGAGTAACTTATTAATTCAGCACTTGCGTGTAGTTCGGTAGAATGAAATGTCCTTATTCCTTTATATCCGCGGGACTCGCGTTGCGTGTGGCGCTGGTATACGTCTCTCATTAGCAATCGCGCCCTGCTTCACACCACAGTCATGTTAAAAACATCACTGTATTCACTCATGCCAAAAAGATCCATCAGCTTGACGACAAGATCCATAATTCCGCTTGATGCTTTGCGTCATCGATATACGCCTTTGTTATTGTAAGAGATTAGCGACCCCTTGTGGCCAAAAATTATATACTGTACGTTTAATAAATAAGAAGCAAATATAGCAGACAATATAATCAGGACATGGAGGCGCCGGCACGATATACCTTGCATTGCTTGTGATCTGGAACTCGTCTCATAAATGAACCGAAACTCAGAAATGTATCTATAGAAAGGATTACTACTGTCTACTTTTAAACAGCATTGAACAACAATTCAAAACGAAAAGAAACAGATAACTCTCTTATGTAGCCTAATCCGTATGAAGAGGTGCATTTCTCCATAGGCACGTTCACAATACTGTGAAGGTGGCGAGTCAACATCATCAACTTCATCTTGGCAGCCAAGACTGACACAGAAAACACTAGTTTATTAATAAACAATTAAAATGTCTCCTTGCTATATTTGACACATTCACTACTTTTGCCAGTTCTTTGTGGCACTGTGCCTAAGCTACTGTGCCTAATATTATTGTATACAGCACGCAAGGTTTATGCGCATGCTCTTAGTCTTCTTCTCCGTTTTTAGTGTATCTCTATGGCAGAATTACAGCGCTATATACTGGTCTGGGATGTATACTACATAGTTTTGAGTCGGTTTCAGTGGTTTCGTGTGTATGCAGATATTTCTTGAATACGCCTTGTTTACGGATTTTTCTTTTAGTACGAGGAAGGGAATAGGGAAAGCTAGGCTTCGTGTGGATGTGGCCCTGAGATCACCCCTTATTATTAACACAGTCTACATGCTCAATGAATCTTTTATTTGCTTTGTGTTTAAATGAATGAATGAATGAATGAATGAATGAGGCATTTATATAGCGCTTTCATATGTACTACTGTACACCCAAAGCGCTTTACAATCATATCAGGGTTCTCTCCTCAACCAGCACCAGTGTGCAGCATCCACTGGGATGATGCGACGGCAGCCACAGTACAACGGCGCCAGTGCACTCACCACACACCAGCTATAGTTGGGGAGGAGAGAGAGTGATAGAGCCAATTCAGTGGATGGGGATTATTAGGAGGCCATGATTGCCAGGGCCAATGGGTGGAATGTGGCCAGGATACCGGTGTTACACCCCTACTCTTTACGAGAAGTGCCATGGGATTTTTAATGACCACAGAGAGTCAGATTTGCCCTTTATACACAGTCTTTAAGTACTATGATCAATGGAGAAAATTGCCTTTTATTTCTATATTATGACAGTTTTAATGCAAAAGTCCTACTAACATTATAAAAGTTTTGCAGGAAACATAAAATGGTCAAGACCACTTTAACAAAATGGTTAAATATGCACTCTTTTTTTTTCTATACCTTTCTCATCTCTGTCTGTCAACTGTCACTCTCTCTGACAAGCACATAAGCAAACCCCTATTAGTTTGTTTTTTCAAGAAGATAAATGAAAAAATGATGCATCGTTGATCAGAATATCTGACATGGAAATGTGTAGAAAAACAGCTAGACGACTGCAATAATTTGTTTAATTGCAGAGCAGCAGGAACACCTCTCCTCTTTTCTTCCAGTTGTCTATTATGAGTGACTGTGAAAGGTCAGGGCTCCTCTGAGCTTCATGTAACTGGGTTAATTACAGTAATAATGACTGAGTTCATGACAGTTCCCTCAAACATGGTGTAACGACTGAGACCAATCAGACACAATTATGTGTTATGGTTAACAAAGAACATTTCAAACTCATTCTGGGATCTGTGGTTCCCCCAACTAGGACCAGAAGGTCTTGGTTACTATGACTACGATCAGATTGGTTGGTTGTAATGCTGTTAAAGAATGTGGTCACTGGAAGAAAGAGGGGCCATAACAGACTTTTGCTGCATTCATTTCCGGACGAACTGATCTGTAAAGGAACCTGCACCCCAACCTACTGTATGAATGATTTATGTCTTGTGTAGTGTCTTTTGATACTATTGTCTTTGATACTATGTATTTAAGGATAGAACCAACGGTCAGTGTATCCCCACCTGTATTGTGTCTCCAATCTAACTAATCCTCATGTAATGACTCACACTTAGTGTACATCACCTTCTCATAGAATGCAGTGTGAGTTATATCTATAAGTATTATATCTATCTGAGTATAATTGGACACAAACAGCCAGGCCCATGCCTGACCACCCTTAAAACAAAAGGTCATAAATCCTACCACCGAGAGACCCCCCGTTTGGAAATCCCACCTTCTTATTGGTTCGAGTCAACCCTTAGGGGTTGTGACCTTTCTCAAGCTTTAAAGGTAATGTAGGTAGAAATTTTATAAAAACTTTTTTCCAAATTTGTTTAAACTTTCTATATATATCAATGCATAATTAAAATGTAAGTACTCTGATAAAAAGAGTATAAAAATCGAGTGACTCTAGACCGTTTAATCTGCACTAAACACAGCTCATTATTTCCATCCGGGACGAAACAAAGGATTGGCTTAGGCGACTGTCACTCTCTCGCAACCATGGCAAGCACCCTTTTGGCACACAGGACCTGCCCACTTGCGCGTACCTGTTTGATTTGAGGAATTCAAGAGGCACGGAACCTAGGAATAGCAAAACAATGGCAGAGAAAGACCAATCAAAATTCACATATGCAGTTCGCGAAGGCAAACCAGCCAAAAAAAGGAAGACAGTAACGTTACTAGAAAAGGTAATGAACAAAAAGTCTTTGGATAAACAACGATGTATCTGTCCTCGAGCTGACGATGCGGTACACAGCAAAACCCCCAGTGTTAAATTAACACTCTGAGTGTGGACTCATATAAACACTGAAGCAGAGTTAAAGTTAACACTGAAGCAGTGTTAAAGTTAATGAGATAATTAAGTGAATAATTGAGTGATGATTGAGCATCATTGAAGACACCTGATGATAACAAGCAGAATCACTGAAGGAGAAAACCATAATTTTAAGCCACCATTATGGTGATCAGTGTTTGGTTTAGTTGGGCTCTTGACCCTTAAATCATTAACTTTAGATTTTGTTTGGCTGCTGTACGTGACTTGTAACAGCCAGATGAACATATAGAAAAGGTGATCTGATGGTGTTGGTTGTGTTTTAACATAATCATTATTTCACAATCATTTGACCTGAATCACTGAACTCATATATAGGCCAATTTCTGAGTTAGGTTTACTTTATTAATTATAGCAGCACTGTCCTTGTATGGCATCATATTTTTAGCCTTTTCAATGAAACCAAATGATAAAAAAAAAACTCAAAAAGTATTTATGTTGGCACACACAGACATCAAGAATTAGCATATGAATCTCAGCAATGGTGACAAACAGATCACCTCTGAACATAATCTCATTATTTATTCATGCAGCAATGCATGATTGGAGCCATGAATGAGTTTTTATTGGTGGAACCCAGAATGCACTGCAACATGCTTTAATAATTGTCACCATTGTTGAGATTCACATAATGATTCTTGATGTCTTTGTGTCTAAAAACTGTTTTTTTTGTATATGAGACGTGTATTAAATAGATTTCTGTGGATTACTTTGTAAAAGTTTAAAACACTATGCTATAATTGATAAAGTAAACCTAACTTGGGCTCTATATGAGTTCAGTAATTCAGGTCAAATGATTGTGAAATAATGATTATGTTAAAACACAACCAACACCATCAGATCACCTTTTCTATATGTTCATCTGGCTGTTATAACTCACATACAGCAGCCAAACAAAATCTAAAGTTAATGATTAAAGGGTCAAGAGCCCAACTAAAGCAAATACTGATCACCATAATGGTGACTTAAAATTACGGTTTCCTCCTTCAGTGATTCTGCTTGTTATCATCAGGTGTCTTCAATGATGCTCAATCATCCCTCAATTATTCACTTAATTATCTCATTAACTTTAACACTGCTTAAGTGTTAATTGTAACACTGCTTCAGTGTTTATATGAGTCCACACTCAGAGTGTTAATTTAACACTGGGGATTTTGCTGTGTACTTGTCTCTGGAGAGTGATTATCAGATAGTCCTCATCAGAGTCAACAATGCTTTCATCATGGAAACTCTTACATGCAGAACACCATATAGCCTATGTTATGAATGTTACACGAAATTCATCTTCATCACAGTGTAAATGATGGCAATGGAAAAACGTGTATCATGCAACCTGTTTTTAGCTTTGCCTTATAGATAACTAGCTCGTTAGCGAATCAATAAATATATATTTTAAACTTTACCGATATCAATATGCTAGCTTGATAGTGAGTACAAAAATACATATTATTTGTTTATCTTCATAATGATAAAGTTAGATTTTTTTTATTACATGTGATTCTGACATGATGTCACTACATGCACTGCGCTCCTTCCTCTCCGCTCGTCTCAGGTAAATAATGCGTCTTCAGCTCAGCGGTCGGAGTCGCGAGTTCATGTGTTTTTGGGGCGTGACTTTGGAAGGAGCCCAGAAGGGTGGGGGTGGAGTGAATGGAAATAATGAGCTGTCTTTAAAACAGTCGTGAGAGGTCTACAGACACTCGATTTTTATACTTTCTTTTTCAGAGTACTTACATTTTAATTATGCATTGATATATACAGAAAGTTTAAACAAATTTGGAAAAGAGTTTTTTTTAAATAAAAATCCTACCTACAATACCTTTAAATGGCCTGCCCACTAGCCATTCCCCCTCTTGGCCTTCTCTCCTATGTGCGGGTTGCTGTCCTGCGGGCCGCACCAGGCCCCAGACCCCAGGGCTGCAGGCCTTGATTCACAACCAGCCATGTGCTCATTCAGGAGAGAGAGGACTCTCTCAACCAGAACAGAACCAAGGACAATCTCAGAAGTTTGGCACAACGACTCCAACCATCAACTCTTCCGACTTCCTCCCTTCCCCTGGGTGCTCTGCGTGGCCTCTCCGGCCCAGGGTCGGCTAACAGGCCTCGACGGCCAACCAGCCATGCGCTCATGGAGAGAGAGAACTTTCAACCAACTTCCACATTTGACACTCACGGAACCAACAACGACTTCAATTTTCAACAACTTCAAGAATTGTCCCCACACTACAAAGCTATGCAAGGTGTCAATTTAAATGAGGTGCTCTGAAAATAGATAAGCCGATGGTTATTTTCATTGTTGAATGGATCTTTCCCATAGTTCCATTTCCTGCTTCCGATTCCATCCTTTCACTCACCCTTTTACCCATGTATGTATGTTTGTTTAGTTATGTTTGTGATTTAGTTAATAAAACTTGTGCGCAATATGTATTTGGTTCTGATTCACTGCTTGCAAACAAAGTCTCTTTTACGATCTTGATCTTGTTACGTGCTGTACATGCTAAGAAATAATTATTCTTCTGTGGCCATGGAAGATACCATTTTCTTAGAATAAATTAATAATCAAAGGAGTTCGTTGGACGAACTGATTAATTGATTGTAATATTAATTTAGCCACATCAAGTTAATCCAATTAACTGACCCAAATATTCATAATTAATCATAACAAGTTATTATTGATTATTAATATTTCATAGAGCTAATTTGTTACAATGGTCTTCTCTCCTTTCCTATTAATATTCGTACCTCCAGCTGGTGTCACCATCATATTCTGTGCTTGTGCACTGCTTATTTTTGACTCTCATGTACTTATCCCAGTCAGGATGTTGTATCTACAATGTGATGTATCTACTGTGTTCATGACTGTTGCTTGAACTGATGGAACCCATGATGGGTTTTCATGGATGGTCCCACTAAGCAAAATGATGTCCAAAAGACGTCTTTTCAACGTCCGACTTTGTGACAAAGACGTTGAAAAGACGTCTTTTGGACATCATTTTGCATGTTGTGAATGGAGTGTAATGACTGCTCTTTGTCCACAGGTCTGTTGACGGTGTCTGGTGTGAGCATCTATATCAGTTACTCTCAGCAGGCTTTGGAAGAGCTGCAGCACATGGTGGATGTGGAGTCACTGGCTCACGTCCACATGTCCTTCGGCTGGTCTCTGGCCATGGCCTGTCTGTCCTTCTGCCTGGAGATGCTCGCGGGGATCCTGCTCTTGCTAGCGGCCCGTCTCATCCACCGGCAGTGCCAGCACGAGCCTGCTGCAGTGTTCTTCATGAGCCAGAGTTCACCACAGCTCCTGAGACTGCAGTGATGATGATGATGTGGTCGACATTCACATGCATTTCATCCACAGCTTGATCAGGGAATGAGTTTGTGCTGTGTCAAAGTTGAAATGGAGAGTGCCGGCTGGCAAATGAGACGGTTGCATCAATTATTGAAGGAGAGGCTCACTCAAGGACTGCTAAATGTGTGTGCATCACTCGACTGTGTACGTGCAATCACATATTTTCCTCAAGTCTTCTAGAAACTTGTTTTCCTCTGCACACCAATGTCATGTGCCATGCACTCATGATATATACCATGAAGAATCAAGAAATTGCAGCTTTTACATGGAGTATCTCTATGGTACACTTTTTTACAGTATAGTTTTTTTTTTCTATAGTCCAAAAACAGAATAATAACTCATAGTGGTATGTCTGTTAAGTAATGAAATGTTTTGCTAAAAGTTCCTATAATATACAATTTAAAAAACATATTACTGGTTAATCAAATTAAGAGATTTATTTGTACATTGCCAACAATATCTGGAGTAAACATGTTATATAACAAAAAGTACACTACTGTTCAAAAGTTTGAGGTCAGTGTGATGACACCACAACTGTTTTCAACATTGATAATAATACTGTATGTTTCTTGAGTATCAAATCATCATATTAGAATGCTTTCTGAAGGATCGTGCCATACTGAGATTTAATACATTAAACTTGCAGTGGTAAAACTTGTACAACTTATAGTAACCAAAATTTCATGAATCATCATCGTGAAGTACCATAATAAACATGACATTTTACCCTGCATGTTGTTAACTTATTTCATCCTTTAACAACACTACGTATGGAGTTGTTTTTAATGATCTATACTGTCTGATCATTACCATACAAACGTTGTCCACAAAGATACTTTGCAATGCATATATCAATTTGAAATGAAGCTAGTTATAATTATGTTTCCATTTGTGGTAATTATATGTATCTCCCTAAGGCTTATATTTGATTAAATATCCAAGATGCACCATGTGTTCTCAATTAAAATATCAATTTGTCAGTAATTAACCAATGTGAGTGATCAATTTATGAAACGTGTCATAGGAACAGACTGTGCTGTTTTCTTGAGCACAAAAGAGTCAATTTTCATTCCAATTTCAAGAAGGAAAGTCTTCTAAGAGGATTAGAAGTTAGTCCAGAGTGTAATATCCTGCAGGAAAATAAGTCTGTGTAATAATATTAAATTGCGACTGGGTGGTTTTAAATCTCGGATTGCTGCTGTGGAGGCTAAAATAGCTACATTCAAGACACCATTAAACGTGAAACCCATGCTCTTAAGTGAAAATAAAGGCTGACCTGGTGATAAAAGGAGCGAGAAGAGTGCTTGAGTGAAGTGTCTCTCCATCACCTAGAAAATTAATTCTATGAGCAAACAGTGCCAAAGTATTGCATTGTTTAAAAAACTAATTGAGAGATTTATAAATATGGTTGCTTGGCGATTTCTGGCCCAAGTCAAAAGATAAATGTAAATGCATTTGGGGTGGTCTGAGATGGATTAATGCAAAAGTGTAAATGTGTCGAATTCAGGTACACAATAAATTTTTCATGAGGTCACGCCACAAATAATGATATAAATCAGTTTGACACCATTTTGCTGTGGGTTCTTGTTTTTTGGCTTTTTCTTCTGCTCCCACAATATAAAAAATACAATAATTGTTTATTGCGAACAACTCTCCTGGTTTAATGGAGTCCTCTTTAGACATTTTACTAACTATAAGTAACTTTTCAACTACATGTCAACTAACTCACATTAGAGTATTAGTAGAGTGTGGTAGAGTGTTAGGTTAGGGTTAGGTGTTAGGGTTCAGGTTAGTCAAGTCATCTTCATTTATATAGCACTTTTAACAATGTAAATTTGTTCTAAAGCGCCTTTACAGTGATAATAGGAAATTAAAGTAACAAATTGTTTTGGCTTTACAGCAGCTCTAGAATAAAGTTATTTTCCAGTTAAAGTTAGTCTTGATTGACTCACTTCCGTCGCAACGATCATTAGTTATTAACTTAGGTTGATTAATAGTAGAATAAGTTGATTTGTAGTTGCCAAGTTAAGTTACTTATAGTTAGTAGAATGTCAAAAGTGGACTATCAAAATAAAGTGTAACCAATGAAGGTTTGGAAAGTTTATTTTATTTCTCCACCTAAAGGCAATGCTTTAAAACTTGGGCAAGAGAAATTAAAGACACATTAAAATATCTCAAAGTCAATGAACCTGCTACACACCACGTGCAAACCTTCCCAGTTAATGGCACAGCATGACGGCTCTGGCTACCCAACTCTCTCTGCTCAATATAAAATAATACAGCCTGAAAATGATGTTGTAATGGAAGCTCAGACACAATGATGGTGTTAGAACCCAGTGGCAGGTATTTATGACCAACACACAAGAGAATGCATCTGAGTAACAACAACAATGTGTTGGTAGAGTGCGTGAATGAGTGACTTTGTGTATCTTTCACCAGTAATCAGAGTCTTTGATGAGCAAACACACATGAAGACTGGACACATGAGGAGAGGAGAGGAATGGAGATCGATGGTAAGTATCGCTGGAGATCATTGAGCAGGTAATTGAGTGTGTATACTGACTAAAGAGTGTGTGTGGCCTCTGTGAGGGAGCTGATTGAAGCGGTGATGAGGGACAGGTGCTGGTATTAGGGCTGAGTCTGTGACTGTGGCTAATGCTGATTTCTTCAATTACTTGAAATATATCCTCATCCTTGATTAATCTGACCTGGATTTCTTCATTGGCATTGGTGGTCCCATGAAGAACCCTTCACAAGATTCTTCAGATTATTTTCTTTGGGGTTCTTCTTAAGAATGGTTCACGTGAAAGTGTGACACACTATTTGACTCTTTTTATACATCTTCCAAGTATGATTTGTGTGTGAATAATTGTTTATTCATGTGTGTTGATTTAAATGTCCATGATAAATGGCAGTGCTTTCTAAATGAGCGCATGATGGTAATGCTCTTTATTAGTAGATTTATGTGTAGAAAAGTGTGAAGAGCTGCAATTTGTGAAAATGGCTAAATAACGTTAATTAGTGATCATGTTTTAGTAATTGATTAAATGATTTGAAGCGTTTTTCTCATTAAATGAGTTTTAGCATGAGAAAAACAACTAATGTGCGAATTTCCTTTTTGGTTTTGTGATTATCAAATTTTGATGATTAGTTTAACCTAGCTTTTTCATCACGTCTCGGTAGAAACAGAATAGCTCCAGGTGAAATACAGAAATGTCTTGCTTTCACTGAATTCTCTCTGGTTGAGAGCGAATGACTGGGGAGATTGATCGGACCTCTGTTATAGATTAAACCTGGACCAAACGCATTAAACATTTATGGTACATAATATTTCTTCTCTCACTTGCCGCATAATCAAGCAGAGCACGGGGTAAACACATTATTCTTTTCCCTATATTGGCTTTGACAGATGGGTGCAATTTCTTTTCCCCCACACACATCTGAGAATCTGTGAACTCTGAAAGCTTTTTCTTACATCCAGAACTCAGGTGGGGGGATTTCTTCCTCTCAAACCACAAAATACATAACGACCCATTGATTTATTCTCACATTCATTTCATATTTCACACATATCATTATTTACTGAATCGAAGTCACCTATCTTTCCCGCTGTGTTGTTATTGAATGGTCTGCACCGATGCTTGGACTGACTGTGATTTCCCCTCCAGTTTTCCACAGAACTGATCTAAGCTAAAGCATAGCTTGTTGTATGTTTCCATCTTCTACCTTGAATGCCTTTCATTATATTTCTCATTTGAACCTCACAAATGAGAGTATGACCATAGCATTTCATGTGCAACATCTATTTTTTTCCTGCAGAATGCGGCACCTTTTTAAATGGTTCCTATGGATTGAAATCCAGTCATCAAAAAGTAATATGAAGGCATGAAGAGATATGTGGAGGAGGTGTGAAGATTAGTTCACAGCACTTCACACAAAAGCCATCTTGTAATAACAGTGGCAGAACTCAATTTGAAGATGAAGTCAAGTGGGGATCAAATATAACTATCATTGTTTTATTCAGATGTTTTCTCATCTTGGTCCACTTATGTTTTCCTACCACTGGCTGAACGTGCTCAAAATCTCATGTCCTCCATCTCATCAATTTACCGTTCATATTTGATGTGTTTTGAATCATTTATTATCAGCCATTTGGTCTTTTTTTAAGCCTCTATGTGAGCTCTCAATTAAAGTGTTGATGTCTGAAGAGCACTGTGTGTGTGTGTGTGTGTGTGTGTGTGTGTGTGTGTGTGTGTGTGTGTGTGTGTGTGTGTGTGTGTGTGTGTGTGTGTGTGTGTGTGTGTGTGTGTGTGTGTGTGTGTGTGTGTGTGTGTGTGGACTGAAGGATTGTGACTGGAGAGTCGTAGGCAGTTTTGAGGAGTGTGGAGTCAAATTTTGCTTTAAGAAACTCCTCCGCTTTGACTATAAACAGACTTTAGGCGCCAGATCTCTGGTGCAAAATATTTTCCTAGTAGAATGCTATGTATAAATTGAATTATATGGCACAATTTCCAAAACAAACTTGGTAGTACATAAAATGTTCAGAAAAGATATATTTAAATTGAAAAGTGGTAACCTCCAGTTAGAGCTATTTGTATAGTTTTGTTGGTAGCTTTAATTTAATGTATTTAGGTTGATTCAGTGATATTAAAATAATATTTTGACTTCAGTAAAAACAGTTAGATTTAGATTATATAATTTTAGGTTATCATTTTGTTTCAGTGTTTCAGTTCTTTCTGTGTACACCACATGACAGAAACGTACCTTTGGATCTGACATATCCCACAAGGATTCACAAATTCAAGCCACTGTTACTGTTGTGAGAAACAAGCCTTACTTCACTGTAAAAAAACTTACAATGTAAGTTTGAATGATCAGAAGAGAGATTTGCATTTACGTTATGAAATCAAAAGGTTCGGGGATAGAGACACTGACAGCATATCAATTAATCTCTACTCCTGTCAGCTATAAATACTCAAGAACAGTGTTTCTCAATTAGCAGGTTTTGACCCAAAAATGGGTTGCAGGTCTCTTCTGATAGGTCGAACTGCAGGAAAAAAAACATGCTAAATACAAATAAAACAACAGAATTAATCATGTACCATAATTGTCTATATTTGGGAGAGCAAAATAAATCCTTCCCGTAATTTTGCTGTTGATGTGAAAGGTTGGGCATCCAATCAAAATC